TTAAAATAAAGTCTCGAAATGAAAAGATTTTTATATTGAAATGAGGAGTTAAAGTTTATTTAAAGTTTTGAAAATGTCCAAACAACAGACCGCTACAAACTTCTTCCTAAACTGGAAGCATTTTATGCGAATAGATTTTATTCCATTTAAGAAAATAATCACACAATTACAAGAAACGAACACATTAATTTCTACTAGCAATGGTACCGAACATTGCGCGGGCCAAGTCTTTTTGCTTTTATACACAGTCGTTTCTATAATACATGCCTTATGGCGTAAATAAAGCAATTCAGTAGGTTTAAACATTTTCGTGGTTGTTGATTTCATTAACGGCATTTTATGATATTATAATTCATGGTAGATTTTTCAAATAAACTATTTTAAAAACGTCAACCTTTCTTACTTCCTTTTACCCTGTGATCAAAAGGTTGAGGTGGTAACCACTTTCAAGGTGGAAAAATCACTATTTGAATAACTTGTCAATTAAAGCAACATAAAAAAAACAATTGCTTATCTATGAAGAATACAAGGACTTGGTTATAAATGGGCAACAAAACACAAGTAATTAAATTGTTTATACCCACCAAGTAAGAAGCGATGAGTTGGGCAAGATATAAGATACACATACAGGTCGGCATGATTCATAAAACAGTATTTATTTGATATTACCTAATATTTGCACGCATGGAGAGGCAACCAAGACTGGATTTTGAATGGAAACAGAAAATCTAGCTTAATGTATTATGAAGCCACTGTACATTTATATTTTAGGGATATCTTCCTCTCCCTATTTTTATCTCGCTTTCTCTTTCTAGGTACACACACACACACACACATACACACACACACACATACATACATGTGTATGTGTGTGTGTGTGTGTGTGTGTGTGTGTGTGTGTGTGTGTGTGTAGATCATACCAGTCAGAGAAGTTGTCGAATGTCTGGCGGAACATGTTGTGTAACACTGTCATTATCCTACTAAAAAACATACCATCCTCCTGTTGCAGAAATTGTATCAGGATGGGCTGAACGTTAAATAGCGCTGTTTAACGTTATCGCCGCAAAAACTAATAGGTGAGCGAGAGTTGTAAATTTTTCACTACACCTACCCCCACCGCCACCATCATGATGCCAAGGGTTGAGTTTGTGTGCTGTGGGGGGGATACAGTCATTCCCCATGTCTACATAAATGAACATCACTTGCATGAAAGCAGAACCTGCTCTAAGCAACCTTACACTTCATTCAATCTCCCAGGTGACCCTCTTGAAACATCGCCGCTGTAGTCTAAAATACTTCTAGAGACACGCATGACTCTAGCTCCGCTGCAAATTAACGATTCTTAACAATCTTTGGTCTGCGCCGTTGATCCGGTGCCGTTTTCTATTGTTGCCCTGACAATGCGTCAATCTTCAAGAAGAAACTTGTCGACGGGTGTAGCAATGTTTAGTTGACCACTGTTGCTAACATTAAATCACCAAAGACGTGCCACGTTTCCGAAATGATAAGCCGGCCTCTTGAAGACCCACCATTCTAACCCTCTCAGTACAGCCTTAATCGAACAGAAGGCGTCCACTATGGCATGACACTGGCTGTACACAATATTGAATCTTATCACAGCATGCGTCACCGCTTAAAGCTCAGACACAGACAGTGCACTGGTCTGAGTGTTACTACGTCACAAAATAGACATACTGTATCCAAGTCAAAATCGGCATCGTCCTTTGGAGTATTGCAAATTTATTTTCTATCAGTATATGTGTTCGTGATTAAATCCGTAAGATAATTATGAAAAAAAAAACATTTTACACAACAAATATTTATTTATCATTCTTTGTCAATGCACTTAGCCAACGAATCCCCATTAATCACAGTGGTGGAAAATTATACAGTGAATATTTCTGATCAATATATATATATATATATATATATATATATATATATATATATGAAAAGAGAAAAAGAGAGAGATCTCGTAAGATATACTGGCTCGGATTATTATTAAATGTGAATATATCATTTATATTCTTTGCATTCTTTACTTTCAGACACTTTTCTGCCTTCCCCGTCACCATACTGTTTTTTGTTTCCACTCTGCATTCCCCTCCCCTCACCACCATTTCTAATCTCATCATTTGTCCGCTTCATCCTTGCATCACTCTTTCCACAACCACGCTTCCTGTCTTTGTCATTTCATTCCGTACATTTCCACCTCCCCAACCACACACCTACTCTTTCTTCAACCATTTCACTTTAACTCCATTTTCCTGCCGTTACTCTTGTCGTAGTCATCGTCGCCATTATGCTGGTCGCCATTTTTTTGATCCCTGAAGTGAACTGATTATTGGAAACTTCCAACCACCTTCATCTTTCTTGTAATACATGCAAAAAGACATGCACATATAAACTATTCATATCACTCGAAAGAATCTATCTATCTATCTATCTATCTATCTATCTATCTATCTATCTATCTATCTATCAGTTTGTCCGCAGGTAA